GTCGAGATCCGAGCTGAGACTTCTCCGTCTCTTCTCTCTCGATTCAGCGCCAGGTAAGTTTCCCTTTCTCGTCGTCTCTATTGGAACTTTTCAATCTAATTTTGATCACGATTTTCAAAATCAATAAAATGTAATCTCCAAGAGATGATCTTAGCTTAGGATCTGATTAGATGAGATTCAAGATTCGTTGTTTCGTTAGGTTTCTTCTTGTCTATAATTCGCTTGGTATTGTTTGCAGGAAAGGTGCATCTTCAGGGATATTGCTTGGAGCAGTAACACTTCCTGCTGTTATGTTATCCAAGTTGGTGCAGCTTACAAGAGCTATCTCACTCCACGCAGCTGAACAAGACGGTATTTCACCGTACAACGCTTTGGATTGGCTTATGACTGTCTCTGTTAGTATTCAATCATGCTCATGTTGACAGACATGCTTTAATAATGTCTTGTGTAGAGCTTGCGCATGTGACAATGCAGTACTGGGCAGCATCGGGAAGCTGCTGCGCAATACTTATATATCTCTCAGTTATTATGTCGCAAACGAAGAAAACCGGATCTTCGTCCTCGTCTGTTTGGCTTACAAGTGCTAGCTTAACTGGCACAGTTTTGTATGGAGCAGCATGCTTTGTTTCACTTTCCATGATATCACACACTGGTAAGTAAGGTCCAGTGTGGGTTTTCTAGTTGTTTTTAGTTTAATTCTTTTCGCTTGGGTTTCATTGGTGACGTCTGTTTGTTCTTATCTCGACAGGCTTGAATACGTCATTAAAAATGTTGTGGATGTTATTTCACGGCCTTACAGCTGTGAAGTTAATTCGGCATTTACTTTGCACCTTCCCTTCTTGTGCCTCAATTGGTAATTCCAACAGCCACTTTTATTCACGGCTTGGGTTAAGAAGTAGTTTTAGTTGTATGATTCCAGCATATCCCTGTTGCCAAGTGTTCTTAGAGCCACTTTAGCAGTCATGAAACGGTTTTGTTTCTATGGAACTCTGGATTTGATTAAATCATGACTCTTTTAATTCCACATATATCTAGTTCACCTGTGACAATTGCCACTTTTATTTTTTTATAGGGGAAGCACTTCTCGTTACCAGTGGTCTAGTTCTCTATTTTGGCGACTTTTTGGCATGCACAATTGCAAAGGTTAGAATTCATCAATTATTTCCTAACAGGTCATGCATTCTTTTTCTTTCATTAAGTACTGCATGGCTGCATGCTGGCAAGAATGACTCCGTAATTATGTCACTGTAACTTTAGTATGACGACTGTTACAGATTTTCGAGAAATTGATACCTGTGGATCTTGTCTCAATAAGCTATGGAATAAAGAGAACTGAAACCGGCATAATCGTCCAGGTATGGTACTAATAAATATAAATGAAATGGATAACCTTTACTGTGTTGCTGAATAGCAAGTGACCAATCTCCTTCTCAGGGTCTACTATTGGGCCTTCTACTTTTCCCGATGGTGTTTAGATTCGTTCTGCGTATATATGAAAGCTCTTTGAGAAAGAGAGATGTTCAACAAAGAAACTGCAGTGATGCGGCAAAATCCGTCTTATTCTTTGTTCCACTTCTATTTTTTATGATTGTGGCTGTTCCTTCTTGGATGCAGTTCGTACATGATTTCCACCAGCATCCCTTCTTATGGTACTTAATCCCTAATATCAGTTATTTATCTTGTGTCTTTTAAGCTGTCTGTTGTGATCCTTTCTATACTAACTTCCACATACTAAGATTGTATCCAACTTTCATACTCCTATATCGCAGGGTACTCACGTTTGTCTTTTCTGAACCTCTGAAGAGACTTTCTTTATGCATCTACTGGGTTCTGTTGATCGTTGTGTCTGTCTCACGATTTTATAACATCTCGAGGAGTAGCAAGGTTGAGAGAATCTTGCTCCGGAAGTACTACCATCTGATGGCTGTTTTAATGTTCTTGCCTGCTCTTGTCTTACAGGTTACTGGTGATCAATAATTTCTCATCTGCTATTATATAAATCTGTATGTGTTAGTCTTCTCCTCTAGTAGCTTCTTATTATTTTCATGTCCTTTCATTCAGCCTAAGTTTCTCGATCTAGCATTTGGTGCAGCATTGGCAGTGTTTGTTGCATTGGAGATCGTTCGAGTAAGCCCCCTTTTATGTCACATAACTTACCTTCTCGGTTTCATCACTTTCAATGGGCTTATGGAAGGTAGTCATTTTGCAAAACAGATCTGGAGAATTAAGCCGCTCGGAGAGCCTTTACATCAATTCATGAATGCGTTCACAGACCATCGTGACTCAGAGTTTCTGATTGTCAGGTATACCAAAACTGTTTTGACCAATGATGGAAAAACTAGAATGCAGAATTATCACATCTTCTGGGGTTTGTATAGCCACTGATTATATATGTTGTATACGTAGCCACTTCTCACTCTTACTTGGGTGTGCGCTTCCAATTTGGATGTCTTCTGGGTTCAATGACCGAGCTTTATCCCCATTTGCCGGAATCCTTAGCCTCGGGATTGGAGATACAATGGTAAGCTTTTGCTCAGCTCTACTTACATGGTCAGGAGATGTTAACTTTGAAAACCTCAGTCTCTTCCAGTGTAATGCTCTAACGATTTGCTAAATAGGCATCAATGGTTGGTCACAAATATGGGGTTTTGAGATGGAGCAAGACAGGAAGTGAGCAATTTCTTTTCTTTTTCTCTTCTTTTTTAAATCTCAAACTATTGTTCCCATCGGAAACTAATATTATCAAGTGCATAATTAATGGTTTATTTGTGGACAGAGAAAACGGTCGAAGGTACAGCTGCGGGAATAACATCGGTGATGGCAGTGTGCTTTGTGCTGGTCCCAGTATTAGCATCAATGGGTTATATACTAAGCCAAGGATGGTGGTCGCTTCTGGTGGCGGTTACAGCCACTGGGATGTTGGAAGCTTACACAGCGCAGTTAGACAACGCCTTTATACCTCTTGTCTTCTACTCTCTCCTCTGCTTGTAGTAAGTTGAGCCTTTAGGTAGAAGTACGTTTTTAACTTAATGTACATAACAAAGTATCTTACTACTAACCACACATCCTCTTGATCTTCCCATGTCTCTCTCTTAAGAGAAAAATAACTTCTTGTACTGTGCCTTTTAGCTGAATGAGAAATACATATCTATATATATGTTCAGGAATTCTTACAGCCATTCAAAATCCAAACAGACCATAACATCTTCCATAGTTTTATTTTTTAACTTCATTGCGTAAGTAGCTATGACAAACATATCCAGGTTACAACACAGGGTCTTGACTCAAGACTCTTGAGCATGCGTTACTAGGGCATCCTGTCATTTCTACTTTGAGCATACTTGAGCATGCGTTACTAGAGCATGCGTTATATAGTGTTGTGAAGGTACTGCCATGTGCAGGACATCTTCGACAGGCAATGATGTTGCCACTCTTGTTTGTCTCCTTGTTGAAGCACTTGATGGATGATTTGTGAATCTCCATAGAAGGTTACATGTGTAGCCTAATTGTCTGACTCTTTGTACTTCTCTAACCACTCTGCATTGAAACATCATGTGGTTTAGTGATTCATGAGCTTCTCCGCATAGGTAACATGCTGCATACAACTTTCATCATTTTCTTCTTAAAGCTTCTGCTACCGGGAGTCTACTGTGAAATAGTCTCTCTATCATGAAGTTGACATAATTGAAGTGTTTCATCAGCAAAGAGCATATGTGATATTGTAAGACCTCTATAACCAATTTGAAAACCATGGAGCTACCTAGTAAGGCTAGTATATAGATTATGATCTGTAGTAAGGTAAACAAAAAAATTCTTCTTTAATAAGTTAAAATGGGATCAACTTGTTTGATACTATGTTCCAGAGGTAATGCACTTCATGATCCACAAACACTATGTTCCAGAGGTAATGCACTTCATGATCCACAAACACTACTTCGTGTTGAATCCAATACATTTCATCACTGTTACATGAAAACCATATTTAACATTATGATATTTAACTTGATTGGCAGACAAACCAGATTTTGCCGTTACTTTGATGTTAAAACAGCAAAGCATTTCATGAGCTATCAAAATGTTACTAGCGATAGATTTTCATGAAACTAGACCCATTTTCAGAAATTTTATGTCTTAGTTGGTTATTTTAAAGCATCTTCCATAGTTAAGCTCCAAAAGTAAATTAAGGATGGGTATACAGTAGTAACACA